TGCTGGAGAGGATGTGGAGAAATAGGAACACTTTTACACTGTTGGTGGGAGTGTAAATTAGTTCAACCATTGTGGAAGACAGTGTGGCGATTCCTCAAGGACCTAGAAATAGAAATTCTATTTGACCCAGCAATCCCATTACTGGGTATATATCCAAAGGATTATAAATGATTCTACTATAAGGACACATGCACACAAATATTCATTGAAGCACTGTTTACAATAGTAAAGACCTGGAACCAACACAAACGCCCATCGATGACAGACTGGACAGGGAAAATGTGGCACATATACACCATGGAATATTATGCAGCCAAAAAAAACGATGAGTTCGTGTCCTTTTTAGGGATATGGATGAACCTGGAAATTATCATTCTCAGCAAACTGACACAAGAGCAGAAAATCAAACACTGCATGTTCTCACTCATAGGTGGGTATTGAACAATGAGAACACATGAACACAGGGAGGGGAGCACTACACACTGGGGTCTGTTGGGGGGAATAGGGGAGGGACAGCAGGGGGTGGGGAGTTGGGGAGAGATAGCAAGGGGGAAATGCCAGATATAGGTGATGGGGAGGAAGGTAGCAAATGACACTGCCTCGTGTGTACCTATGCAATAATCTTTCATGTTTTTCACATGTACCCCAAAACCTAAAATGCAATAAAAAAAGAAAAATAAATAAATAAATAAATAAATTTCCTTAACATTGCCTTAGCCGTGTCCTAGAGATTTGGTACATTTTATCTTTGTTCTCACTAGTTTTAAAGAACTCCTTGATTTCTACCTTAATTTCATTATTTAGCCAAGAGTCATTCAGTAGCCTGTTATTTAATTTCCATTGAATTGTATGGCTATGAGTGAATTTCTTAGTCTAAATTTCTAATTAGATTGTGTTGTGGTCCAAAAGCCTGTTATGATTTCACTTTCTATAGAATGTTTTAATTCTGATTGTGAGATCAATTTTAGAGTAAGTGCCATATGGCAACGAGAAAAATTGAACATTCTGTTATTTCCGGGTGGAATGTTCTGTAGATGTCTCTCAGATACATTTGATCCAGTGCTGAGTTCAGCTCCTGAAAATCTTTTTAAATTTTCTTATTCAACGATCTGTCTAATATTGTCAGTGGGGTATTACAGTCTCCCACTATTATTGTGTCTCTTTGAAGGTCTCTAAGAACTTTCTTTATTAATCTGGGTGCTCCTGTGTTTGGTACGTATATATTTAGGATATTTCAGATCTTCCTTTTAAATTGAGCCATTTATGCTGTGTTTGGTACATCTATATTTAGAATATTTCAGATCCTCTTGTTGAATTGAGCCAAATATTTGGCTCAAATATTTAGCTAATTATTCTCCAAGCTTTAATTTTCTTAGCTAACACCCTAATGTCCTTCTTTGTCTTTTTTCTTCCTCATTGGTTTAAAGTCTGTTTTGTCAGAAACCAGAATTGCAATCCCTGCTTTTTTGTGTTTTCCATTTGCTTGGTAGAGTTTCCTCCATCCCTTTATTTTGAGCATATGTGTGTCACTGCATGTGCATGTGAGATGGATCTTTTGAAGACAGCATACAAATGTGTCTTGTTCCTTTATCCAGCTTGCCACTGTGTCTTTTAACTGGGCTATTTATCCCATTTACATTTAATTTTACTTTTGATATGTGTAGATTTGATCCTGTCATCATGATTATAACTGGTTGTTTTGCAGATTTTTTTAAGTGGTTGGTTTATAGTGTCACTGGTCTGTGTACTTCAGTGTGTTTTTGTAGGAACAGTCCTTGTGCTTCCTTCAGAAACTCTTGTAAGGCAGGTCTGTAACACATTCCCTCAGCATTTGCTTGTTTGAAAAGTACCTTATTTTTTATTTGCTTATGAAGCATAGTTTGAGTGCATATAAAATTCTGGGTTGGAATTTCTTTTCTTTAAGAATGTTGAATACTGGCTTTTGATAGCTTCTGGCTTGTAAAGTTTCCACTGAGAGGTCCTCAACTTTGTATTCTATTGATTGACTAGATTGGCTCAAATATTTAGCTAATTATTCTCCAAGCTTTAATTTTCCTGTAAAATCACATGCAGTTTTAGTTTTAAATATGGTTGTACTTAGGCCAGGCATGCAGGCTCCTGCCTGTAATCTCAGAGCTTCGGGAAGCCGAGGCAGGCAGATCGCTTGAGGTCAGGAGTTCAAGGTCAGTTTGGCCAACATGGCAAAAACTCAACTCTACTAAAAAAAATACAAAATACAAAAATTATCTAGTTGTGGCGGTGCTCAGTTATAGTCCCAGCTACTTGGGAGGCTGCAGCAGGAGAATGGCTTGAACCTGGGAGGCAGAGGGTGCAGTGAGCCAAGATGGAGCCATTGCACGCCAACCTGGGTGACAGAGTGAGACTCTGTCTCCAAAACAAAACAAAACAAATCTAAATAAATAAAATAAAAGTAAACACAATAGTACTTTATCAATAAATAATGCTGAGCTATTCTACATAAGCAACATTTTGCAAATACCTGAGGCATATGCACCCTACTGTTCATATACTGTTTTTGGTATTTTGTCTATGTTGAGTTAAAATGTTTATAAAATATTTTATGTTCTTTATTCCATCATTAGAATGAGAATGCTAAAAACATTTTCTTGATGATTTCACATGATTATTTAAGCAGCCAAAGGTTGCCTTGTGTAAATTAGTAATTCTGTACTGCTTTTTAATTTTACTCTTTATTCTATTTGTCAGGTTGCCAGTTGTCACTTTTGATGTAATTATTGCTAATTGTCTCCTGAGCTACTTGTTTCCTCTTCTGTTTGCTAATAATTTACTTTTGGAAGAAGAAAGAGATAGAAAATCTCATTTCAGCTGTACCTAAGTATGGCACTAACTGAGAAGAGCTTAAGAAGTAAGATCAGGCCGGGTGCAATGGCTCATGCCTGTAAGCCCAGCAAGTTGGGAGGCTGAGGCAGGTGGATCACTTCAGGCCAGGATTTTGAGACTAGCCTGGCCAACATGGTGAAACCTCATCTCTACTAAAAATGCAAAAATTAGTCAGGCATGATAATTTGCACCTGTAGTCCCAGTTACTTGAAAGGCTGAGGCAGGAGAATCACTTGAACCTGGTAGGCGGAGGTTGCAGTGAGCTGAGAGCAGACCACCCACTCCAGCCTTGGCAACAGAGAGAAACTCTGTCACAAAAAAAAGTAAGGCATTTGTATACTAATTCTATAATACATTATGATTGTAAAACACTTTTCAAATGACTATAGCTCACATTTCTCACATTTGATACATTTTCCTTTGTTCTTGCCCCGACAACTTTAGAAGTAACATTTGAACAAGATAAATAATTTCACTACATAAAGTTACTGATTTGATAATATTGTGACTTTAGCAAATAGAAAATATGCCTTAAATTTATTTAATATGATAAAAATATTAGTTTTAAAGCACAACTATAAAGAACGTAAATAAGCATTATATAGTAAAAAAACCAGAAACATAAATATGGTTTCTTTTTTTATATTCAGTCAATTATTTCAAGCGACATCTTTCATTTGCTGTTAAGCCAAATAGCAGACTGGGATTTTTCACATTCAGACAGAAAGATTGATTTATTCCTTAAGCTATTATGACACATGTTCCTTTTAACTTGAAAATACTTCATTTAACTATTTAGAATGTTCTAAAACTTTTGCAGATTAAAAAAAATTAATGAACAGAAAATGTGTGACTAGGAAACACTGAATAGATTATCATCTCATTAGTATGTAAAGAAACCATTAATCTAGATGTAGATGTTTAATGCCTTTCACCAAATAATGTCTTCTGCATGGAGGACTAGGGCTTCCAGGGAAGAGTGAGGAAGCTGGTTGGCTTTCTCAGATACTCCAAAGTGAGCACCACAACTGTCAAACTAGCTTCCTTATATTTAAAACACCGTCCTGAAAACTGGAGAGTTAAAGATGGAGCAAAAAATGGCTTCATATCAGTTCACTCTGGGGCTAAGTCCAGATTATGACTGGATTTGAGGGACTGTGTTTATTTTCAATGGCCCCTCTTCTCTCTGCTGTAGTTACCCTGGCCTCCACCAGAAAATCCAGGGGAATCCTCAGACTGATTTAATAATCTTAGCATCTCCACAGCTGAGCCCCGCCTGGTCTCATCCTCTGCAGACGCTTCAGAGCTATGGGTGTTTACTTTTCTTCACCCCTTCACTCTTAACCTAGTCAGAGCTCATCATCTTTGTTAATGGTGTTAAAATGAAGGAACATGAAGTAATACATGAATTTCCTGAAATAATATTGAATTCCACGTGTGTGTGTTGCGTCTGTGAATGCGTCCATAATTCTAAGAAACTGTTCATACTCTTCATCAGATTTTCAAAGAAAACCACAATCACAAAATGACTGAGAAACACCTTTTAGGTGACTATCATGTGAATATGGTAGAAAACAACAGACATTTAACAGGGCCTTGCAGACAAAATCTCTTGATTATGAGATATCTAATAAGCTGTAAATGTGCAGATGCTCTTTCAATTTGAGTACATTCACCACTTATCCGTTGCTTTGATTCAACTAATGTAAAATACATAAAACCCATTACAAATCATCAAGTGCAATGCTAAACAAGATACGGTGAAATTATGCTTTTTCCTGGAGGCATTTCGTTTTTGAATGGCAATATGGCAATGTGCTTAAAGGGATTAAAACAAAGTTCACACCATTTGAATCAATTGACTTCTGGAAATCTCCTCTAAAGAAAATCTCTGATATAGAAGAAAAAAAAAACTATTCTAGGATAGGATTCAATTTCTACAAATATGTATCGAAAATCATATTCACCACTTTCTGGGTTCTGAAAAAAATGTAGTATTTCCAGGTATTATTTTCCTTTCTAGAACTTAAGTAACACTGCGATTAGAACTTCTGACCCCACGACCCACGATTCCCACACCTCTTTCACTTCTGCATGCACTGTTCCTTGCTTCCCTGGCTCGGAGCCCTCGATGTAGAATTTTACACGCATGTGTTCTAGCCCACCTTTTACATATTCAACGAAACTGATGTGCTGCCTGCGACCCCGCTTTGTCGCCTCCCCGTAGCCTTTAATAGGCTCACCAAAGACACCGATCACCTCGGGATGTGATCTGCATTTTTCTAGGGCTCTCCTATATATCTTGCTAGGACTTGAGGAAGAAAAGAGTTCTTTGAAAATTGTGTAAAACAAGCCACCTGTAATGGTGATTCCAAAGAGCACCACTCTTAAATAGGTAAAATCTCTTCCGGCCTGAAAGTCTTTCACTTTCTGTGCTGTTGAGACGGCGGTGCCCCCTCTCTGACTCCTGTGCACCGACACTTGGTTGCTACCATCCTCCTTTGCTTTTCGGGAGCTCGGCCCCTGAGTCCAGATGGCTTTCTGGGTGGCTCCAAGAATACATCTAGGTCGCACTGTTTTCTTTTGATAGTGAAGCCCCCATCTCAAACTGGGCTGAGTCTTCAAGCAGCTTCGTTGAGCACAGCGTGTGGCAACAGCAATCGCTTTGCCGAGGACCTGTGCAGCTTCCCCGTATATTGTATGGCTCGTAGAAAAGTACAAATCATGTTCACTCTTATCGTTGGAGATAATCGATCCCAGGATGATTAGAAGAATCAAGCAAGCAGGTTACAGATGGATGCTGGGTGGCGTGGACTCACTGCTCCAATCTTCACAGCTCTCTTCCAGAATCTCTCAAAAGAAAGACAGGAGTGTATGGTTTCTAAAGTGAATCTGATACAGTATTTGTTACATTTAAACGCACTAGACATTTTCTTTTTGAAAAATTATGAAATAGAGCATATTTTGTGTTCTCCCATTGAAGCCATCATGACAATATTTCTGCTTTAACACCAACTTTCCTGAGTAGAAATGTTTGTTATTGAAAATTTTACATCATGTAAATAAAGGAAATAGGTTTTAGTTTTGTATTATAGAACTGAATAATGTCTCCAGAATAAAATTAAAACTAACAAATATTCCATTAGCAGCTGCCCTCCAAAAAAAAAAAAAAAAACTATTTACAAGAATATGTTCATTTAGGCATTATTCATCATAGATTAAAAAAACAGAAATAAATATATAATACAAGGGAAATGTTTAATAAAAAAATCTGATATATATATAAAATATATTAAAATAAAATATTTTAAATATATTTTAAATATATTAAAATAATTATGAGAACACAGTAACATGAAGATTTTAAGATAAATCTGATAATTCATTGTTAATCTTATTAATCTCTTCTGTTAGCCTCTCATTGCCAATACAAGCATCTCAGCCACAGCCTTTGAATTCTCCAGACATTTCTTACTATTCCATGGTGGTAGCCGTTCGGACCCCTAAAATCTAGATTTAAAAGGACAGTTTATTCTAGCTAATCCTAAGAGACAGCTTTATTATTTCTCCAATTTTCTTAATACTGCCTAGATTTCCTTTTAGATCAGACCAGATATGCTTCATACTGAAAACACAAACAAAAATAAAATTTTAATTTGCTAATATCCATTAATAACAAAGATAAATGTAAACTAAAACATGAACGAGTACATTTTACCAATAGCATCAATGCCAGAATCCTTACCAAAGCATCACCACTGAAGAATGCTTAAGGGCCGTCTTTGTAATATTTTTTTCCTGAGAAATAAGGAAAGGCAAACAAAGTGTTTTGCTTATGGACTGAAAGCACCACAATGAGAAAACATTGCTGATCTGACAACAAAAATGGCTTGGATTCTGATCACTGAACATTATCTCACAAGCAAGATAAATAGGTGAGCAAATCATAATTAGAATCTGACTTCTAATCAATGTGTATAAAGAATAAATGAAGCAGAAAAATAAAATGTGCAGTATTTGCTCCAACAACCTTGGGGAGATGGAGCAAGGTACTGCCAACTGGATGCTGAAGTGCGATGGGATGAGGGAGGAGGCAAAATGAAGAACTGAAAAGCAGAGAATCTCTGCTAAATTGGGTCCCCTCACCTAGCTTACCCTTTTATCTTTCTATGCACTAGCCCAGATATACAGAAATAAAAATGCCATAGAGGTGACACTTTTTTTTTTTTGAGATTGTGTCTTGTTCTGTCTCCCAGGCTGGGGTGCGGTGGCACCATTATGGCTACTGTAGCCTAGAACGCCTGTGATCACGCAATCCTCTTACTTCAGCCTCCCAAGAAGCTGAGACTATCGGTACACAATCACATACCCAGCTAATCAAAAAAAAAAAACATGTTTTGTAGATATGGGGGCCTTACTATGTTACCCAGGCTGGTGTCAAACTCCTAGGCTTAAGGGATTCTCTTGCCTAGGCCTCCCAAAGTGCCGGGATTGCAGGTGTGAGCCACCATACTCGGCCAGGGATAACACCTAAACTGCATTTATCACCAACCCCTCCCTCCTCATAGAGAATACTTGGTACTCGAGACTTATGTCTAGGGTTAGACTCTTGGCACAATTAAATATTCCTTTCTACTGTGTCTGATAAACGTTATCTCTTTACTTTTTAAGGAGTGACATTTTAACAATGTTCAAACAAACGGGAATGCTAAGAAATGATTGAGTGAAGTAGTTTCCTATGTCTTTAATTCCTCTAGCTATTGACAAATGTCAGTTTTTATGTCTATAATAGATTTTCCTTAGCTCTATCATCCCCCAGTTAAATTGCAATTTTTCTTCTCCAATAAGTCGAGGTTAGGTATACATAAAAACAGCTGCTACACAGACAGCATTTATCACTCTCGGAGCTAAGGTGAAAAGTTCAATCCTATTTAAGGTTTTCTGGTGTGTGTGTGTGTGTGTGTGTGTGTGTGTGTGTGTGTGTGTCTTTATTGAACTGCTGAACTTCCTGCCTCTAGGTATTTTGTTATATGTAAAATATAACCTCCACTGGATGAAGCCACTTAGACATATTTTTTGTTACTTGCATTAAAATACAGTACCGTCAGATTAATAAACTCTATTCTTAGAACCTGTTAAAGGAAAAAAAAAAAAAGCTTTCCTGTTTTCAGGTCTTACACTGGAAAAATTTACCATTGAGAGAAATCCAAGCCTGCCATGACCCGCTCTGCAGGAGGTCCACCAAGGAAGAAATGGCATTTTCTGAAGCCAAACATTTTAAGTTAGCAATAAATATACATGTAAACATATACTACTTTATATATTTACATAGAACAATTATTTCTTGTACAGTATATAACATGTTGTATATAACATATTTATATGAAATGTATATACACACAATAAGTATGTTAAGAAAGCATTGAGATTATGGCAATACTTAGCCATAGACTAAGAGAACCAAGGTCACCGCACTCAGCATCATAACTAAGTGAAAGCCTGAGGGAAGCACACAGCCAAATAGTATTTTCTGTTCACGATTGCAGATAATCACAGAGCCTGTAAAATGTGGATGGCAGCAGCGAAAATCTGGATGCAATCAAGTTAGTATACAAGGCACTGCTTAGAATTCTCTTCAGGAAAAGAAAAGGATGCATATAAGATAAAACTGTTTTCTTAGAGAAGGTATACCTTTGAAATGACAATTCTGTAACAGTGTTTTTGAACATCACAGGCTGGGGAAGACTGTACTTGGAATTAAAGTTAAAAAATAAGATCAAAGGGTCACAATTTGGATTCTTTTCATGTTCATTCATGCTAAATTCTGAAATCTTGAAAATATTCCAAGGCCTTTTGAAATAATTTTTTTATTCTATTTTCCAAAGTAAAGATAGTCAAAACTCCCCATGAGAATATGAAGGCATAGAGGAAATAGTATAATATTTAAGCTATTATCTTTTTAATTTACAAAATCACATTTTATTAAAGACCTTGACTTTTTGCATCAACAAATGAGAAAAAAAAATTACACTAAAGTATCATATGGTGGATACAGTTTGACCAAAAGAAAAACTGTACAGTATATAAAGATGCCAGTAATATCTACATGTTCATGTCTGCAAGATAAAATCCTGCTTGGTATTATTGGAGCAGCAAAAATATTCATATCTTAAAGTTTTTCTACTCCTAATACCAATTACTTACCATCCACTTACTTTTATTGGATGGTAATGTTGCCTGATTTCCTGATTGTTGCAACATTGAAATGTTTAAAAAAAAAAGTACTTTTAAAAAAAGTGCGTTAAAGAAACTTAAAAGGCCAGTCCAGCAATAGCACAGAATCCTGCAATTTAGACAGGATATGAATGCAGCATGTAATTGAACGTCTATCCTATTAGTACCTCTTGCGCCATTGTGCTGGCACATAACATGAGAAATTTTCTGTGACCTTAATTTGAAAGGGTCAATGCTAAAGTAATATCACAATTTATCACATGTTTTAAAGGATTTATACCACAGTGTAAATTTAGGTTGAGCAATAGGTACAATGCTTCTGTTAAGACCATGTAAAATAAATCTGTGGGTAAGGAAACTTAAAATACTCTGGATATTGTTAGACATTATTAGGTATTATTTTAATCATAAATTCTAGAGTAAAACATATCATAACTAAGAAATGGCAGCACTGGAACATGTCTACGGAATAAAATTGAAATCTACATAAAACTGAGTTGATCGACGAAAATTGTAATTAAACATATGCTTGAAGACAATTTAAACATGAAACAACAGATAATCCTTTTTTCTTTGTTGCGAAAAGATCTTTCAATGCATTTATATGCTAAATCAGCAATAAATACTATTAGTCTTTTTTCTCTAACATTAATTTTAATCACTAATAAAATGTATTAACAGTAGAAAAATAGAAAATATAAATAACCTAAAGAAAACAATCCCCCCACTCAGAGAGAAAAACTAATGTTATTATTTGTTTTTGGGTTCTTAGTCATGAAATGTTTTGCCTAAGCCTATGTCTAGAAGGGTTTTTCCAAAGTATTGTCTAGAATGTGTGTAGTTTCAGGTCTTAGATTTAAGTCATTAACCCATCTTGAGTTGATTTTTGTATAAGGTGAAAGATGAGGATCTAGTTTCATTCCCTTACATGTGGCTAGCCAATTATCCCAGCATCATTTGTTGAAGAGTGTCCTTTCCCCACTTAATGTTTTTGTTTGCTTTGTCAAAGTTCAGTTGGCTATAACTACTTGAGTTTATTGTCTTGAATGAAGACTAATGCCCCATTTCCAGTGTCCTGACTCTACTTCAATTCCTGTTTTGGTGTTCATGAGATAGCTCTTTCTCCCACTAAATTCTGCAAGCGGGGTATCAATTGCTCACCTTAGAGCAGCTACTCACTCAATTTATATTGTGATAATAAAGTCCTAAGGTTTAACTTTCTAAAAAAAACATTTTTCTTACAAATAAAAGATTTCTAAGTAAAATAAAGAAAAGCCTACAAACAAAAATAAAGATTCTGTTTTAAAAAGAAATTCACTATGGAAACCCGGTTTTCACTTGCTGATGCTCAGAGAAAATAAATACACAACCAAAATGTCAAGTCACTACAGAAGAAACCAGTGGGAATGTTAGGAAAAACCATTTTAGCCATCTTCAGCTTCACATGATAGCAGAAAGCCAGATGAGAGAAGCTATGACTAGAAAAAGAAAT